AGCAACACTGAATTATCTTAATCAGAAGATACACGACTATCACGAAGACAGTCGTATTAGACTTTCAAATGCATTCAATGCATTGAAGAGTAACGTCGAAACTAATAATACGGAAAGGGTGCATGAATTCTCAACTAATGTCAATCAAAAATTCTATAAGAGCGCTCTTCTATCCATTTTATCGACGAACCGAGAAACCACTAATAAGCTGACCATTCATCCATTCAGCAAGGAAGATAAATCGGTGCTTAATGAGTCGTACAAGCTTGATCCCTTAACGCTTGATCTATCTTTTAATGGAGAGAAGCTTTCGACCAAAAACGCAAATGCCCTTGTAAACTGGGAAGAAACTATGCGAAGATTTTTAACAGAAGCAGAAAATTACAAAATACAACTAGATATCCCTCCAAACCTAGGCATCGAATACTATGCAGCTAATCGCAAGCACCGACTAGATGATAGTACAGTATCCAACCCGCCCGATACAGCTAGAGCACGTACCGACGAAAATTATGAAGCAAAAATAGAATTTATTTACAAAAGTAACCCATGGTTAGTGGACGATGACTTCCATAAAATTAGCCCTGCTGGATTGACGTTTTCGGTAAAGATGCCAAACTTCTAAAGCGATCAAATGGTCAAGATGTAGCAGGAGATGAATTTATTACAGCTAAAAGAAATATTCGCTGGATGTCTACGTATACTATGCTTGTTGATGAACTGCTTGATGCTAAGAATTTCTTAGAAAGCCATCCGAAGCTGTCCCAGGAGGAAATATCAATTCTAAATAGTATTAATTCAACGTTGTATGCCTTAAAGGTACCCAAGGTAGTCTCTAGAACTATACTGAAACAAGAAGATGAGATCGAAGATCCGGAATCTCCTATGCAATCACGACCAACCAGTCCTGAGATGGAATCGGTGGCAAGGGGGCGAGGGCTGAAAGGGGCAGGTTTACAAGGTGCGCGTATGACTAGAGCAGGCTACAATCTACGAGATATCGAAGGTACTGGGATGGCCAGCGATCTTGTATATAAACGCTTGGGATCAAAGTTTGTTCAAGTTGAGAGACTAAACGATGGAGAGCTCAAGATCGTGTATCCAAACCGGAAATTAGTTGGAAAGCGACGTAGTGTGTCTCCGGTTGTAGCTAAAATACTGAAGACTTTGATTTATGATAAGGAAGTAGATCAAGAAGCCTACAATAAGCTACCTATGGATGATAAGCAGCTATTCCATGAGATCTTGCGCATCACGCACATTCAATACGAGTTCAAAAATCCACTACAGGATCCAAGAGAAGCGTTAAAGCAAGAGTACATCAAACTCAAAGGCGAGATAATGCTAGGCAATGACAATCCTGAGATCGTCGAAGAGCTAAAGACGGTACTTGTAGATATGTATTCAGCTAAACTAATTTTTCTCATGATGAATTTAAAGAAGTTCTAGTATAACTTATCTAATAAACTATAGAGTAGAGCTTAGACAATGACATTAATTATTGTTAACACCAGTCTTGTTGACACCAAGAATGCGTATAAGCGTGAAGCCAATAATAACATGAAAGAGTTGAAGAATATAATGGAAAAACTCACTGTACGAGATACTTCAAATTCAGTTAATAAAGTTATAACAGAAACTAGTGGGGATCTACTACCGTATGGGCGCCTCCGCGAAAAACCAAAAAAAA